TAGTGTTAAATATTTAAAAGACACTTTTGTAAATCATTCACCTTTGAAAAAAACAAATGGCCATGTAGGGAAGAAATCTTCCAGAGAAGTATAGCTCAAATATTTTCCACTGAAATGGCCAATACAGGAAGTTAATATGGCAAACTTGTAACATAGTCTATGCCTTCTCTCTATAACTAAAATGAGAAAAATGAGAATTCTGGAGTGCTGGGCATCAAACAAATAGCTCCAACACTGACTAGACGATAAAACTGGATGAAAGCAGCAAAATGAGGCTATATCTGGTGGAGTTACTTTTGTGGCCAGTCAGCCCATTGTGAATCCCAGGAAAGCAAGTTCATCGAAAGCCCGACAGACAGTACAGCCAAAGCTCAAGCGAAGCAAGAGCGCAGAGCATGAGTTAGATGCAAAGAAATGATGTATAGGAGAAGATGTCCATTCAAGAATCTCAACAAACTCCAAATAAGACACCCCCAAAAGAAAATCACCACAATATATTATGAGCAAACTTTCCAAAACCAAAGATAAAGAATCTTTAGACCACATTGGAAAATGCAAAATGTAAACTCTTATTTTTTAGCAGAAATCATGCAGGCAAGAAGGCAATGGGATGACATCTAAAACTCTGAAAGAAAAAACTACCAACTCAAAATTTTATAACTTATAAAATTACCTCTCAAATACAATGGCAAAATTAAAATTAGGGCATTTCCAGAAAACCAGATTAAAAGAATTTATAAAAACCAAACCAACCTTACAAGAAAAATAAAGAAGTCCTTGAGGCAGAAAAACAACAGACAACAACTTAAAATTAAGAAACATATCCACATCACTTGGAAACCACCCAGATAAAGAATTTTCAATACAAAAACAAAGCTACAGTGCTAAAAATGGGTTAGGAGAGATACCAATTTGTAAATGACAACTAAAGGAAAAAAAAAAAAGAGAGAGAGAGAGACTTATTGGTGTAGATAAAGAATGTCCTACGAGAGAGGAAGCCATGATATCAAGATAGTACAAGGCTGTTTAGAAACTTAGGAGGATAAATTAAAGAGGAACCACAAAGAAAATTTATAAACTTCTAACTGAAATAATAAAGCAGAAATTACTAAGGATTCCATAAACACAGAATCAGGATCAATGAAGGAAATTTAAAAATGTAAACAAAATTAGGTCAGTACAAAAAAATAATTGGAATAATTAAATCATCAGTACTATGAGGGGAAAACACACCTAAATAACAGCAGTAAATGTCTGTAAATAGATAATTATACTGAATGTAAGTAGATTAAATCCAGTGGTCAAGAGACAAGTGTGAGTTAAGCCAAGGGGGTAGAAAACATGACTCCTCAATATACTGCCTACAAAAGCCACACCTTACAAAGATGAAAATAAACCACATATGAAAAGGTGGGGAAAAAAAACACCAAGCAAACAGCAACCGAAATATGTGGGGGTAGCAACATTAACTTCTGATAAAATATACTTTAAAGCAAACATCAACCTAAGTAACAAGGACGGGTATTATGCTGACTGAAGGGTCAATCCAAAAGGAGAACACAGCTGTAATAAATACCTATGCACCCAGTGAAGGACTCTCAAAATACTTAAATATTAAGAACAGGTTGGAGAGGAAAGTCTGAACACACCTATAACAACAACAACAAAGTAAAGAAATTGAACAAATCATAATAAAAACAATAAATTCCCCCCAAAAAATTAGTCCTGGTCCAGACTACACTGATAGCAAAGTTCAAGGAAAAACAAAATAGGAAACAACAAATGCTGGGGAGGGTTGTAGGGACCAGACCTCATGCGCTGCTGATACGGTACCTACAGGAAACGGTATGATGCTTCCTCAAAAAGTTAGAAATAGAAATACCATCTCTGGTACCATCTGTTCGACTCTGACTCACATTGACCTTATCTACATAGGGTTTCTAAGGTTTTGTAAATGTTTACAAGAGTAGACAGCCTCATCTCTGTCTTTCTACCATCAAACAGTTAGTAGATTTGAGGCCTGACCTTAAGATCAGTAGTCCGATGTTTACCTGGTAGCACCACCAGGACTCCACAAAATACCATTATGACCTAACACTCCTGGTCAGGATGAATCACTGATGCAAATCCCAGAAAGAAGAGCCCGGACACAAACGCATCCCCATGTTCATGGCAGGACTATTCACAACAGCAAAAAGGTGGGAACAGCCCGAATGCCTCTCAAGGGAAGACTGGATAAACTATGTCACACACACGATGGAACACTATGCAATAAATAAAGAATAGCAATAAATCTGAGAAAGATAAAGTAGATGAAGCTGAGTAAAATCCCTTACAAAAGAGCAAATATCTTATTAAACTATTTTTAAAATCACAAAGTTTTGCATGCAAAAACAAATATTTGATGCTTCCCTAGATAGGATGGGTAGGGAAGGTAAATCCATAAGGAGTAAGCCAGTACTACCATATTTTTACACAAATAATAAAAACTTTTGGGGGGGTTTTGGTTAGCTGCCCTTCCACCAGAAGATATTTTTGCAAATGTGCTATGTTAATTTTTTTACAACAATCTAATTAATGGGCATAGTAACCTGTAAGAAAACATCTCCCATGGAGAGAGGTATGTTATCTGCATAAAAAAAAACAGCAACAAGGAAAAGGAGAGGCAGAACACTGTTAAGGGGAAGGGCAGCACAACATAATGGCAAGACCCTAGAACGCACACAGGAGTAAGACAGCCAAAGTAAATACAATTCTGCACATAATGCTGCAGCAACAGTAATAACAAACAATGTCCACAAGTAGACCGGCAAACTGAAAAGACGTAAATGTGAGCATACCCACAAGTATACGTAAGTGAAGCAGAGGATACTTTACGTGTATTTGTGCATACTACAGCTATATACTTGGATATTTTAAAACACACAGGGGGCAGAATTCTAAAAACTTCTTAGCCATAACCAAACAATGTGAGGGACTGCATCACTGGGGACTTAGGACCACAGTCCCAGGGGACAAGTAGGTAAAGTGGAATACTATAGTCTACAAAAAAAAAATAGGTCTTACATCCTACATTGGTATGTAGTGATTAGAGTCTTAAAAACATATGTGCTAAGATGTATCTAGTAGAGAAACCCAAAAGGCAAACTAATGCCATTGAGTCAATTCCAACTCAGAGAACTGCCTGGTGGGTTTCTGAGACTTTACCTCTTGATGGGACTGGAAAGCCTTGTCTTCGACTGAGGTGATTTCAGATTGCTGACTTTGCAGTTAGCAGTCTAACACATAAGCACTACACCAGCTAGAGTGAAGAAAATCAAAGATGCACAGAAGTAACTATCCCACAGACCATAATCTCCACTACTGAGATCACAAGAACTAGCCAGTCCACTGAAGGTAGTCACCCTTCCAGTCCACTGAAGGTAGTCACCCTTTTTGATGAGCATCACAATAGAACAAAATCCAAAACTCATTTAAAAATATGAGTAACACTGAAACCCACCCAAAGGTACCAACTTTCAACCAACCAAGAAGCAGGCCTATGAACAACACCACCAGGACAATAGAAAAGTGGGTGAAGGGAGACGTCGGACAGTGTAAGACATGACAAAATAATAATAATTTATAAAGGATCAAGTGTCGATGGGGTAGGGAGTGTGGGGGAGGGGTGGGAAATGAGGAGCCAATACCAAGGGCTCAAGTAGAAAGCAAATGTTTTGAGAATGATGATGGCAACAAATGTACAAATGTACTTGACACGATGGATGGATGGATGGATGGATGGATGGATGGATGGATGGATGGATGGATGGATGGATGGATTGTGATAAGAGTTGTACGAGCCCCCAATAAAATGGTTTAAAAAAACAACAATACTGCCACCAGAGAGGAATATACTCTTCAATACAATGAACCAAGGTCCAAAAGGGAGGATCTCACTGAGCAAAGCTCAAAGGAAGAAGGGCAAACGGATCCCAGGGAGGAAGTGGAAACAGTGCTGTTACATTTTACATTTAGGAGATAGCAACTGACTTCATGAAATAAATTGTGTATAAATTGTTTAATGGAAAGCTAGTTTACTCTGCAAACTTTCATTGAAACTAAAACAAGCCAAATGAAGTCAGACACAAGAACACACTTTAGAATGGATTCCATTTTCTAGTCTGTTGTAATACAAAGAAGAGCAGTTGTTGCCTTGGGCTATGATAGCCTGGGGTGGCTAGCAGGTTTCACATAAAGAATACAAAGTAATTTTTGAAAGCGATGAAAATATCTACATTTTTATTGTGGGGGTTTTTATGCCAGTGTAGAAATTTGTTAAAACTCATCAACATGTATAGAGAATATGTATATTTTGTATATATGTTACACCTCAGAGCCTCTAATAAAATTATTAACAACAAAAGTTATACCTCAATGAAGTTGATTAAATATATTTAATTAAAATAAGTGTTTAAAAAATGTTAAGACCAAAAAAAAAAAAAATGTTAAGACCGTCCCCTATCAAAGGCAGGAAACTTTTGAGATCCTAAAAAAAATGAGGTGATTTCAAGTTCTTATAGCCTTATGTTAACTCTATATGTTAATTTGTCTAAACGCAAAAGGAAAAGGGCTACCAGAACTCTTGTAACTGTTAAAGAATTAAGAGACTTGCTAGCTTCCCAGTAAATTATGGTACTATAAAAACAATGGAGACAAAATGCTAACCATCCAACAGAATCTATAAGAATGACTAACCACAATAACAAAGACTCAGGTTTTCATTTATAATTCCTATATATTATTGATAGCTAATCATGCTTATCGGTATGTTATCAACTAACTACATTATAAAAATGAAGACTGGGTCAACATCTAAGAATGTAAGAAATTAAAAAGTTACTATGGTCTGCTCTGGAAGGTTGAGCTGGTTTTCATAAATTTTCTTAGTACTGTTCATAAATCGTTATGATAATCTTCCTTTTGGATGACAATGGTTAAGAAAGGTATTGTTTACATACTCTTCTTAATGCTTTTCGTTTGTGGGTGTGGCTGAATGCCTCCAGCTGGAAGTCCATAGGTGCTTATCCGCTGCACAAGACTTGCTACATTCCCATGCCTTTCCCGTTTGATGGGCAAACTGTCATCCTTGGATTCTGTCTCTCTCTTAATTTCCTACAAAAAGGAACATCAATAAATGCGTTTACAAAGTCATATTTTGTTTACATTCTCAAACATGAAATACCAAAAACTAGGTACAGTTATTATTACATAAATCCTAATATGAAAAGTTTTCAGCCTTTTTCTCTGCCAAAGCCCAACTGATGAATGAAACAAGCTTTCTCGGACACGCTCCATCAAGACTGACCGGTCCCTGGAAAAGGGCTTCTTGACTGATGGAGTCAGGGAAAAGAGGGAGCCTTTGATGAGAAGTGGCTACAGCAATGGATGCAGATACAACAACGATTGTGAGGGTGGTGGCGCATGGCCTGGTAAGAGTTTCACTGCTACACACAGGGTTGCTTTGAGTCTGAGTCTGAGCTGTCTCAATAACACCTAACTAAGCGATCTGTAGAGAGAGGCAGAAATAAATACCACCCCTAGGCCAACACACAAAGTCCCCTACAATACAGGGACAAACAACAGTGAGCAAATAGTGAGCAAGTTTTTTTCTATAAAGGGATAGGCAGTAAATAATTTTGGATTTGTGAGTTAAATACAGTTTTTGTTTTGCAACTACTGCTACCACTGAAGTGTAAATGCAGTCATATTAAATGAATGAGTCTAGCTACCTTTCCACAAAACTTTTGAGTGAACACTAAAATTTATATTTCATGCTTCTAATAAATCACAAAATATTCTTTTTTATTTACCTTTTTTTTTTAACACTCAACTTTTCATAGATTTCTTAGCTAGGATGAAATGAGTCATCATAAAAGATCAAATATTACCATATATACTCGAGGATAAGCCGGCCCAAGTAGCAGCTGAGGCATCTAATTTTACAACAAAAACTGAATTAAAAATGTGGTGAAAACTCGGCTTATACGCAAGTATATAGGGTATATAAAATCAGTGATGGGAGAAGGGGGGGGAATGCTAATAAAAACAAACATACCAAAGGGAAGAGACTTTGGGGAGTAAGGAAGGGAAAATGAAGCAGAGGGTTAGACTGCTGACAGGTACTAAATTGGATGACGGGAAATATAGCAGTCCATTAGAGGGAGAAGAGAAATCAAAGCGCATGTGAAGGGTAAGCTAATGGGTGTTTGATTAATAGTTTAAACTATTGAATACAAAGTTGATGATCTGAAATGTAAGCCTCCATCTAATTTGTAATACCAAATTGTAAAAAAATGTTTTTGTTTTTAATTTAGTTAGCATTCTTATTCATGGACCTTACAAACACTATGTGCTATGTGAGGATACCTGTTTGATGTTATCTGAAACTCAGCTAGGGAAGACAAAAGCAGGTGGACTTTCAAAAGAACTCATCCTGGTAGTACACAAGACTTGGTTACTAGGCACAAACCAATCAGAAATGGCATATAAACAATTAGGGAAATTAAAGTGTCAATGAGTGTAAAGTCAGCAAACGGTCTCATCCCTATGGTAATAACAAGTACAAGACATGTTATCAGATGGAATCTTATGCTATATGGCCTTTGTAAAAAACTAATGGTTTGTATTTAAGGGATAAGAAATAAAATTGGAAATCTTCACATAATACCAAACCCTATCCCAAGTGAATTCACAACTGAGAATCCTTTTTTTTTTTTTTTTAGGACACAGAACTAACTGCCCCTGTGAATTTCTAAGACTTTAGTCTTCAGGTGAGTAAAGTCTTATCTTTCTCACACACAACTGCCCGTGGTCCATGTACAGGTTTAAAGAAATAATTGACTTTTAGGTTTCCAAACTAAAAAAAAAAGTTTTATCCCCAAATAAAAGTGAAGGTATATAACGAATGACTGAAGAAGTAACTGCCTCAAAGTATTAGATTTTGCTATTATCATAATTAAATTAAATTGGATATTCACCGAAAACTGTTCAGTCCTAAGTGAAATGGCCAAAGATGATCTCCTTCATATAAAATCAAAACATACTTTCTAACGGCCAGCATATCAAAATCAGCAAAGACACGTGAGTTTGATAGCAAGAAAACTACTCAAAAAAAAAAAAAAACAAAGAAAGAAATTAAAGTTGGCCAATGGTTACCATGGGTGGAAAAGGAAGAGTTTTTGCTTCAGGGACACTGAGTTTGTGTTAATGGTGGTAATTTGGGAAAAGGTATCAATAATGGTTGCACAAGCTGAAGAGTAAAATCAATGTCACTGAATTATACAGGAAGGAGTTGCTAAATTGAGAAAATGTTTTATTGTGTATATTTATGCCATTAATTTTTTTAAATTATAATAATTACACTAATAACAATGAGTACGAGAAGAAAATGTTCTAAAAATTGATTGTGGTAATTATTGAATATTAACTTTCTTGATAAAACTGAAACTGAATTACATGCTCTGTGAATGAAGTGTCAATAAAACTGTTTAAAACAAGCCAGCAAAGAAAACAACAGTGGCAGAGATTAGCAAGGCTAGTTTTAAAGTTTCTCAATTTAATTCTTTTCTCCAATCTGCTGTTCACTATTTAATTGCTGTTTCTCCAATTTGGACAAGGGGCTTCCATAGTTAAACTTCCGTGCCCCCATTTGGAAAAGGTGGAGGGGTGGTCATACGTAATCATTGTCAGTGGCATTCTACTCATTCTTATTTTTCTATCTCAAAAATGTTGATGAGAGGCAAATAAAGTGTAGTGAAGGAAACATTCAACTATATTCTTTCTGATACCACAATGATAAATAGATTGAAATTGCTCTAATAATAATAATTGCTCTAATAACAATTATAATGGTCACACATTCATACAATTTTGTTGATTTTAAAATGTTATTTTTGCTTTCCAACCTACGATGATGAGTTCAAAATAAAACTGCAGAGAGTGACTATGTAGTATCTATGATGCTCTGATTCAAAAGGCATCAGACCTGCAAAGGAGCACATTCTCACTCTTAAATCCCCCATCTAAACCACTTGAGGCCACAGATGGCAGAGACATGCAGGCAATGAGTGCTGGCCCATGAGGTAAGCCCAGAGCACATCCCAGATACCAACCAGCTCTGGCACTCAAGCTTTCCTGACGCTTGGTTTAAACTATTTAACAGAAGTAACAAATGTGAGGAGGCCCTGAGTGACACAAACTGTTACACACTCAGCTTTTAAACTAAACGCTGGCAATTTGAATCTACCTAGCTGTTGCTGTCAGGTACCATTGAGTTCATTCCAACTCATAGCGCCCCTATGCACAAGACAGTCTTGTGCCTTCTTCCCAATTGTTTCTAGGCTGTGAGCTCACTGTTGTAAGCACAGTGTCGATTCATCTCGAGGACCTTCCTCACCCCTCTACATTAGCCAGCAGGATGTCCTTCTACAGCATGGTTCTAAACCTTCCTAATGCCGCGACCCTTTAATATACAATTCCTCAAGTTGTGGTGGCCCCCAACCATAAAGTTATTTTCATTGCTACTTCTTAACTGTAATTTTGCTGTTATGAATTGTAAATATCTGATATGCAGGATGTATTTTCATTGCTACAAATTGAACATAATTAAACATAATTAAAGCATAGTGATTCATCACAAAACCATATGTAATTACATATTGTGAAATATTAATGTTTTTCCGATGGTCTTTGACAACCCCTGTGGAAGGGCTATTAGATGCCCAAAGGGGTCGCAACCCACAGGATGAGAACCGCTGTTCTACAAGGACTGGTCTCCCTGACAACATGTCCAAAGCATTGCCATCCTTACCGTCCTAGAGGTACTGGCAGTGCTTCAAACTCTACTTTCAAAATACCCACTGAAAACCCTAAAGAACACAGCTCTGCTCTGACGCACATGGAGTCACCATGTTTCAGAAATGACTCAAAAACAACTATTTTGGTTTGGTTTACCCGTATTGTGATATCTTAGCAGACAAAATCCACTCACGTTTTCTTTAAAAATTTTAACATTTTCAGGTAAGTTCCCGAGTAACAATTTACATAATATCTTGAACCTTATAGAGTGAAGATAAATGCAATATGAGGGAGGGGCAAATATTACAATTTAGTTTTTCTTTTTCTACTGAAGAGAGTCTTGAAAGTCATTGAGAAAAATTCAAGAGCTGAAGAGCCTGCGGAAGGGTTTTAAGATAGTAATATACTTTTCACAATAGAAATTTCTACATTGCTTGAATTTTGTTTTAAATATATATTGATTTATTTTTAAAATAATAAAGACTGGGTATATCACAAGTAACGGTGCTAGAAGTCAAATTGTTCTAAGCATTTGGAAGATTTTTGATTTTTAGGATTGGTTAAACTTATCTTTTTAATCCTGAATCGTTACCTATCTTCTCTAGTATTACCAATATTGAACTATCTCTCTAAATCATTGAAGAGTCTATATGGATTCAGAATATTATACAAAATAACCCAACTCTGTGCAAAATACTTAATAACCTCTAGTCGATAACAGAATGTGTGCTATGATGTTATCATAACGTTAGGCGCTCTGCCGGCATAGTGGGTTACAGGTGGGGCTGCTAACCTCAGTCAGCAGTTTAAATAGACCAGTTGCTCTGCCGGAGACAGAGGAAGCCTCCTACTCCCAGTACGGCCGACAGTCTCAGGGACCCGGGGAGAACTTCTGCCGTCCGACTGGGTGGCTTTGAGTCAGAATTCATAGACAGTGAGTTTATACTAATGTTAAGATTCCTAATGTTTTCACATTAGCCCCAAAAGTAATGTTATTTTCATTTAGTATAATCGACAGCTACACGTTGTTTTCTTCTTTCACCTATCTCTAGTTAACGAAAATATATAAAATCCTAACTGTTTTTTCTCCAATTTTCTTTTTAAAAAATATAGTTTTCTAAACTTTTGTCACTCATAAGACTTGGAGAAATCACTGGGTTCATATCCAAGAGAATTGAAGTAAAGGATTAAAAGTCATACACAGCAAACTGGCATTTCTTTAAAGAAGCCTCCCATTTCACTTACTGGGAGCAGTGAAATGGTCGATGCATCAAAATTAAATCAACAGTCTTCTTCAAAAAGCAGTGTGGAGACAC